CCCTGGGGGCCACAATGATACTCACAAAACATGCTGAGGGCTGCAACTTAAGTGTAGTTGCATATACATACTAATATATATGCAAATAGCTTTTTTCACACTGATGGGCATGAGTACAAAGATTATGGCAAGACTACACAACATGCAAGCCCCATTTAAGTTAGTTCTGATGATATTAATAAAATGCAATATTTACCCGATTTCTACCCATATAACAGCACCTTTAATGAGCAATGATAGTCCAGGAATTTAACTACTAAACCACATACCAACAGAAGACCGTTATATTGACTACTTTTTTGTTTTGGCTTCACTATTTTAACAGATCAAATAAAAACTGCCAATACTGTACTGGAATTTACTGGTGTATAAGTACAATCAATATGAAGATTGTGCAAACTTTTCACCAGCTGTTTCACATCAGGCTTGTATTCTGTTGTAGCAGCATGGAGATAGTCAGTCAGATGTCTTTCAGTAAGAGAGGTGTGCAGTTTCGACTTGATGATTCCCATGGAGGAGAATGAACTTTCACAGTCATATGTAGACCCAAAGCAAGTCAGAACTTTTTGGGAACATTTTAGTAATGCAGGGTACATGTCTTCCTGTACATAGATCATCCAAAATGTTTCAGTGTCCTCAGGCCCAGCCTTTGGGCAAGGTAAGTGGGCTGGTCACCTTTGAGCCTGTGCATTCAGGGTCCCACGCTGTCTAGCTTCCAGCTCTGCCCATCTGGCCAGGAGCCGTGCAGCCGAATAGCTCAGCCTGCTGCCATGGGCCCCACACGCTCTTCGGCCAGGCTTGACTGTCCTCTTCCTTATGCCTAATTTTTAGAAAACTATTGTTTTGCAGTTCTATCATCTCTTCCTCAAATGGGGCCCTCTCAACACCAAATTTCACTGTTGAAGGTGAGACTACCTTTACCTCAACTGAAAATGGATTTTCAGTAAATTCAAGAACCGTCTTCAGGGATTTGACACCTAGAAAATGAAAAGAAAATTCAGTTTTCAGCTCTGAGATGTACTCTGTAAAAAAATCAGGCAAAAAAGATGCATGTTCACTCAACTGCGTCACTTGCGAGTTGAGGATAGGAAAGTGAGTTAAGTCTTTCTCAAAAAGCTGATTCGCAAAAAGGGCCAGGTTTTTTTTTTCAAATGCAGAAACATTGCACATCAGAGAACAATGCAGGGTTTTTTCTTTGCCTTGAAGTTTAAGATTGAGTGCATTTAAGTTCCATGTCATATCAGTGAGAAAAGCTACATTTAGCAGGAATGTCTCTTGTCTAAACACGACTATAAATCTTTTGCCTCCAAAGACACACGTTCAACATGCAATAGATCCATAATCTGATCTAACACTTTACCTCGACTCAGCCATCTAATTTCTGCAAGCATTGCCAAGTTTCATACTATGTTTCATACTCCTCAACTAAAGCTTGAAATTGTCTATGTTTCAAGGCATTTGCAACAATGAAGTTGATGATTTTTGTGACACTATTCATTGTGCTCTTGAGAAATCTTCTCTTCAGTTTGCTACAGAACTGTTCTTGATGTAGAATGCAATGGTATGAAAAGAAATCTGGAAATTCTGGATTTTTCTTCAGCAAATAAATTAACCCTTTCTCTTTTCCAACCATGGCAGGAGCGCCATCAGTTTTTACTTAAGTAAGCTTCTTCAAATCAATGCATTTTCCTGGCCCTTCAAAAAATGCCATCAGCGCAGAATAAATGTCCTCTCCCCTAGTTTGACATGTCAAAGGTAGCAGAGTAAGCATTTCTTCTACATACTTTTTGCCATTGAAAAAACGAACCCAGATTATGAGCTGAGATATGTCTGAATGATCAGTAGATTCATCCATTGCCAGACTGAAATAGTCAGTGCTTGCAATGACTTTTAGCAATTTAGAAAACAGATTGCCTGAAATGCTTTCAATTCATTTTACTACAGTTGAATCATACACTTGCAGTTTTTATATTTGTTTAACTATATCCTCTTTGTTTTTAAATTTTGCAAAAAGTGATTCTCTGCAGTCCAAAAAGCACTGCTTCATCAGTTCAGCTTTGGTAAAAGGTCTTTTTGATTTAGCTATGTGCCAAGCCATTTCGAAGGAGGCGTCTGTAAAGGTTCACTGTCTTTAACTTGTGAACAGAACATGTCTTGTTGAGTACAGAAACCTTCCAATAAGGAACGTATCTTCAGGGGTGTGGCGAGGTGGAGCAACCCCGCCACTATCCCCCGCAAGGGGACAGGGACGTGGCGGGAACCCGCACGGATGCAGCCCAAGTGGCGGCGAGGCAGGTGCCACCAGAGGCTGACAGGGAAGCGGCAGGCCAGCCAGGCACACAAGTGAAAGCAGCAGAGGCACTTCGGCCACACCCGGGGACAGCCGTGGGGGATGACGTCACCGGCGCGACGGGCGACAGAGATGACGTCACTGGTGCGTCGGGCGTCGGGGAGGACGCCACCAGTTCGGTTGGCACCAGGAATGACTCTCGTTGTGTGATGGGCGCGGGATACAAAAAGGGGCAGGAGAAGCCCAGCGGAGGAGGGCTGGATGCAGAAGAGGTACGGGGCGGAGAGTCGAGAGTGATGGAGGGGCAGTAAGGGCTGCTCTGGGAAAAGGGAAACTCGGTGGCAGGGTTGAGTGCGGCACAGGGTAGGGTCATGGAGCCCGAGAGTGGGTATGCTCCTGCTCACTACCACCGGGAGCTCTATTCCCAGTGTCAGGGCCCTAGGCCGGGGTCCTTGAGAGAGGGTGGGCCCGGACCCCCCTCCCTGCTACCAGCAGGCACTTCGGTGGGACCTAGCTTAAGAAGGCAAAGGCTCACTGTTGTATTTTGGGTTGTAGATATAGATCTTGTTGTTATGGTAACTGAGTAGGTCACTGGGGTCAGCCCAGCTAGTCTGGGCTTGTTCTAGTGAGTTCTGTGCTATGCAATAAAATGGACACTTGTAACTACTCCAGCTCTCTGCCTTTCCACTGATTTCTTCCTATGCTGTGAAACTCCCCATGACATAACAAGTGGCAACGAGGATGGGATTCCTGTGCTGCCTCCAGCAACAAAAGAAGTAGAAGTCAATGTAAGAAAACAAACTCTTTTTGGCTGTTCTGGAAGGTGGGGGTAAGAACTGATTGCTACACTGTGCACTGTGCAAACTGAAACTAAGATCAAGGAGCCCAGGGTATGTCTACACTACCCTCCTCGTTCGAACTAGGGGGGTAATGTAGGCATACCGCACTTGCAAATGAAGCCCGGGATTTGAATTTCCCGGGCTTCATTTGCATAAGCGGGGAACCGACTGGATAGCATTGTAGTGTAGATGTACCTTGTATACTTACCTATTTTGAGAAACTAGAGGTATCCTGAAATAGCTACCCCGCATCTACACAAGCCGCCTTTTATTTTGAAATATTTTTCTAAATAACGGGTAAGCGATTTCACCATCCTGGTAAACTTCGTTGCACAAGGGATAAGGAATGGCTCGAAATAGCACATTATTCCAAAATTTGGTGCTGTGTGGATGCAGGAAATTTCAAAAGATATTTTGAAATACAAATTTGAAATAAGATACACAATTTGCATAGTACAAATTGCACATCTTATTTCAAGTTTAGGGTTGTTGTATATTGGGTTGTAGATATAGATCTTGTTGTCATGGTAACTGAGTAGGTCACCCGGGTCAGCCCAGCTAGTCTGGGCTTGTTCTAGTGAGTTCTGTGCTATGCAATAAAATGGACACTTGCACCTACTCCAGCTCTCTGCCTTTCCACTGATTTCTTCCTATGCTGTGAAACTCCCCACGACATAACAAGTGGCGACGAGGATGGGATACCTGTGCTGCCTCCAGCAACAAAAGAAGTAGAAGTCAATGTAAGAAAACAAACTCTTTCTGGCTGTTCTGGAAGGTGGGGGTAAGAACTGACTGCTACCCTGTGCAAACTGAAACTAAGATCAAGGAGCCCAGAGACTGGAAAAGAAAAAAAAAGGGGGGAGTGCAGCAGCCATGGCTACACTTACAGGGCCACTGGGACCTTTTGAGGAGACTTTAGAGCAATGGCAGGTATATACTGAGCATTTTGACCTTTTTGTTATTGCAAATGACATTAAAGAAGAGAAGAAGGTGCCAATATTTTTAAGTGTTGTAGGGGCTAAGACCTATTCTCTGCTACGTAGTTTGCTGCTCCCTGTTAAGCCAGAGACCAAATCTTACAGTGACATTGTGGAAATCCTGGGGTCACATTATGCTCCAAAACCACTGGTAATTGCAGAAAGGTCCAGGTTCCATAGCAGAGACCAAAAAGAAAGTGAAACAATTTTACAATTTGTAGCCAATTTGAAAAAGCTTGCTGAACACTGTGAATTTAAGGAGATGTTAAATGATGCCATACGTGACAGATTAGTGTGTGGCCTGCACAGTGAAGCTATACAGAGGCGTCTGTTAACAGAAGTTCAGCTCACCCTACAGAAGGCCATTGATATTGCGGTTTCCCTGGAACTAGCCACACAGGAGGCACAATACCTTAATGGGGAGATCATGGCTTAGGAAGATCCCACTGGACCGGGCAGAAGTGCACCGGATGACTAAAGAAGAAACAGGTCTGACTGATATATTAAAGAGACATGCTGCTGTTTTCGGAGAGGATCTGGGAAGTATGAGGGGAATCACCGTGAAACTGAAGATTAAACCTGGTAGCCAACCAAAATATCTGAAGGCCAGAACTGTGCCATATGCTATCAGACCAAAAGTTGAAGCAGACCTGGAGCACCTAGTCAAAAATGGAGTCCTAATACCAGTTACCCATAGTCCATGGGCAACTCCAATAGTTCCAATATTGAAGAAAGATGGTTCTATTCGGATTTGTGGGGATTTTAAGGTCACTGTTAACCCTGTTTTATGTGCAGAGCAATACCCCCTTCCTCGCAT